CACCAGAATCAATGCCAATCAATGTGCTCAGATGTATAGTATCAGCAATTCGTAGGCGTAAGGCTGAGGCTTGTATCAGGGACAGATTATCTCACAGCTGCTTTCTGCGATAGTTCTTGGATCTTCTTTTGAAGCATCTGGTGCTGCCCGGTGTTGGAGACAAGGGGCTGGACAGTGACACATCCAGAACTAACATGCAGAAGAAACTGAGGAAAAAGACTTTTTATAGAAGTCCTTTTATCCTATCACATTTGCTGCAAGGATTCTGTTCCTCATTCTTTATGGTGCTGTGTATAGTCAGAACTCAGGTATTAAGTCACTTGTTCATCTAAATTTAAAGTTGTTCATATAAATCACTTATTTCTGTTTCAATTTCAGAAACGGGAAGTGGGAATGCAACTTTCTTTAGACTGTAGCCTCGCTGCCCCCTTTAAATATAAATAAAAAGTTTTGTCTTTGACTGGACTTCTTTAACTTTGTCCTGTCAGGAATTTTTTTCTAATTAAACTTAAAGTAATCTCTTCTAAGAAATTACCCATTTAATTGATGATAAAATTACCTTTTATGTAAATCCCATTTAGCACTACTTAAAAGTGTATGTGTGAAGGACTTCCTTTAGGGGAAAAAATGGGGTGGGGAGCAGTGTAGGACAACAAACTAGATTTTGTTTTGTTAAGCCTGAAGAAGGCTTACGTGGATGGAGAGCGTAGTCTGGGGAATGCATCTTAGCTAGATAGATACATGGGATTGGACTTCGGCATCATATCCAAGAATATACTGCTATAAGGAATCTCTCTTTGATCATCAGTTGCATCTGCAGTCAGTGACAGAATTGCAAGGACAGGTAACCAAGTAACTGCTTAAAGAATTAATCTTCCAGGACATACAGAACTGGTGATATGTTATTTTTAACAACCTTGGAGAGAGGGAACCAAACAGAAACATAAATGTTTTTTTAAGTAAAGCTGCAGCAGGGACCTGCAAGGCTTGTAAAACTCTCATGTTATGAGCAATTGTTATCAATCGGAATCTCTGCGGTCTGACACTTACATGACTGATTTCTTTTATGGGAGGAATGGGGCATTAAAAAAAAAGGCTGTTCTATGGAATCCATGCTCAAATAGGATTTAAGTTGCATGAGAGGGGAGAGATGGAGACAACACTCACAGCTGTACTTGACACACTGTGAATGAAATTAAGGAAACCCTATAATAAAGATGAACTGGGGGCAATGATTATCTGAAGTGCAGAGCTTAATATAAGGGACACGAAAAAATATTCTTCAAGGAAGCCCTTCTGATTTTATATAAGAATTCCTGATTAATTCTAGGTTATTCTGGAACATAAGCTTTGACACATCATGATCAGTCTTTAGTACATTCTTTTGAAATAGTCAGACATTTTCATATTGTATTTTTTATTTCCAGAGATCCATGCAGCCCAAATTTGCTATGCAAAGTCCTTCCTGTAAACTCCACTGCATTTACCGTTACCTAAGCTTTGATTCATAAAACAGTTTCTATCCCATCTAGTTCTGAAGGTTCATTAGCTTATGTTCTCTAATCAATGTACTGCAGTCTGCATTTCCATTGTAACTCTGAAACTTAAATGGCAAGCCCAATTAGGTACAAAGTTAGAATATATTAATTCACCATTAGTTCTGACTTGAAATCCAGATGTGGCAAACACCTTTTTGGAGTCTGTCCACAAATAGTGAGGCTTTTCAACACTTTCTTTTCGATTCAAAGGACATGCGAATGTGCTTGTTCCGTCAATATCCTATTCAGTTTGAAGTGAAAAGTATGCTTTTAAACATATTCAAGTCAGTTGAGGATTTTTGTCATTAAGGTGGAATTCCAGGGGATGGTTGGAGGTTCATGAAACCTTTCAGTTTGCACTGTGAATATATTACTTGTCAGGTGGCTAATTGTCTTGCTGCATGTGAAGCCTTTGAGAGCAATGGGAGTGCCTCAAAATGAAGTGCCGCCTCAGTGCAACAATACTAGCGTAAACATGATAAATATGAAAAAAAAATATGGAGGAGAGAGGGGAAATTGTGTTTTAAGGAGCTCAACTGTGCAGCACACCTCTACCTCGATATAACACTACCCGATATAACACGAATTTGGATATAACGCAGTAAAGCAGTGCTCCAGGGGGGCGGGGCTGCGCACTCCCGCGGATCAAAGCAAGTTCAATATAATGTGGTTTCACCTATAACGCAGTAAGATTTCTTTTTTTTTTTTGGCTCCTGAGGACAGCGTTATATCGAGGTATTAAATATTTATCACTTAAATCACATCTTAAATTTATGCTACCAGGGAGGTAGGGAAATAAGACATGGCAATAAGGCAGACTTTAAAAGATTTCTCATTTCCTTAAAATTTAAGTAATGTTTTCTCCAATGTCTTTTTTCTTTTTTTCTTTTTTTCTTTTTTTAACACAAGGAAGCCCAGTCCCTGGAGTAGCAGAAGGGCTCCCAGGACAGGTGAAAGTGGTTATGCCAGTCCTGCTTTGACAGTCCCAAGAACTGGTGACAGTAACAACTTCACAGACCCAGCTGCCTTGTGACCTTTGGGCCAGACACTTAAAGAAAACCACAAACACAGCTCAGACTTCCTCTGACTCTGCCTAATCTAATCCATTTGAACGTTCTACATCTACTCTAGACAAGTGTTGTTTTTTTTAGGTGAGGGAGAAAGTGAAAGGATCACCAATAGTAGGAAAGGGTTTGAAGAGGCATTATTACGATGGGGTGGGGGGGGGGAGAAAGGGAATTCCTAGAGTTAAAACTTTAAAATATGGGAAAAGCAGTATGACAAGGCTAACTAGTAAGGGGTGCGTGGGTGGGAAATGGCAGTTAGGAATGTGGTTGGAAGACAGTGATAAGTAGTTACTAGGCATTGGCCTAATAATAGTAAAGAGTAAAATTGAGTGTAGTACCACAAAGTTAATTTATCTTTTGTTTGTAATCTTTTTTTTCCTTATACTGCTCCCTTTTTTTTATCTTGTCTCATCTTATGATCCTGTTTCTACTTAGACTGTAAGCATTTCAGGGCAGGGACTGCCTGTCCTGTGTTTGTGTGTAAGGTGTCTAACACACTTCTGAATGCTCTGTAAACAAATAATAAACTAGAGCAACTAATCAAAGCACCAGTAACTTTTAGATAAGCTTCATCCAGGAGTCTTGTAGTTATCGTGTGCGGCCTATTAACAGGAGCCCAACTTAGCAAGATTCAGAGTATTGTGGTGGAACAGTTGCAAGATCACAGTTAAGGTTGTGTTAGAATTTATTAACTACCAAATGTATTTATATCCAAGCTTGGACTGATCAGTGGTTGGTATTTCCTAAATTGATTTTGCATAGCCACAAACATGCTTCATTAACCCACTAACCAGGAGAGAGAAATTACAGGAGTTGTATTAGTGTCTTACCAGACAGCGGAGGGTGAAGAAATCTAGGCTATGGCTGCACTACAGCATAAGTTGACATAAGTTATGTCACTCATAGGTTTGAATTAGCCAGCCCCCTGAGCTACATAACTTATGTTGGCTTAAGTGCCGGTGTGGACAGCGTGCTGTGTTGGCGGGAGAGCTACATCCGCTCGTGGGGGCTGGAGTAATTAAGCTGACGGGAAGCTCTCTCCCGTCCGCTTAGAGCGGCTACGCTAAAGAGCTTGCTGCACCGCTGTAAGCTCTCTAGTGTAGCCACAGCCCTACACAGTTTCTCTTTCTATCCTCCAATGTTTGTTCAGTCCTACCGGTATGTTGGTGCTGCATGAAACATCTTTTCCAAGAACAACAAAGAGTCTGGTGGCACCTTAAAGATTAACAGATTTATTTGGGCATAAGCTTTCGTGAGTAAAAACCTCACTTCTTCGGATGCATAGAGTGAGGTTTTTACTCACGAAAGCTTATGCCCAAATAAATCTGTTAGTCTTTAAGGTGCCACCAGACTCTTTGTTGTTTTTGTAGATACAGACTAACACGGCTACCCCCTGATACTATCTTTTCCAAGGAAACCCAGCAGGGGGAACAGAGTGCTCCTGTGTCTCACCCTACTCAGGCATGCTTCCAGGCTGATGTCTGTGTAACCGCTGATGTATTTTATTGCCAACTACACATTTTAACACACACCTCTCTTAATTCAGTGCTTTTGGGAAATAATGAGAATGAAAGGTGTCATATGTATGCTTTCGAGTGTTCTGATCAGCCAGTCAATTTACTAATGGGGGCAGAGTAACTTTTCTGCCTTGAACTAGTCATAAAGCAGACAGACAGATCTGTGCTATAGCTTTTTTTGTTTGCCCCTTTTCCCCAGTCGCTCTCTGTTGTATTTAAACTGTATGTGGTTTGCTTCTTGGCCTTACGGCATGAATGCCATCTCAGATGAGAGAATGCAAATACCTGATTGGAAATATGCCTTATTCTGTTGATATCTGCATTTTATACTTTCTGAAACTTTTCCAAGTAAAGGAAATTGGCTTAATATCCCTGAACCACACTTGGACAGGCAGTCCAACTAAACAAGGAGTTAAGTTGCTTCCCTTAGATTTCCTCAGTTATGCAAGTTAGCAAATTTTTGTATACCTACACCTACTGCAATCAGAGGTCAAATGGGGGAGGAAGAGCAATGGTAATGCTTTGCCCATTCATGACACCAAAATAAATTGCTATTTAAGGTAGATTATGCAGTTCTTCATAATCATCCCTCTTCTTCCTTTTTGGCTTTGATTAGCAGTAGTTAGCTAAGCATGTTGACATGTAAGTTGTCATAAGTAGATTTAATAAGTTAACACTCCTATTGATATGAATGGGAGCAATTTTGTTGCTCTGTTTTTAGGGTGCCTTTAGACTTAAGGAGATATCACTGAATCAATTTGCTTGGCTCACACTTTAAAGATTGTGAAGAAGACATTTAGACCTAGATGCTGCTTTCTAGTGTCAAACATTAAACACGTATATTATTTTGCTCACACTCTGTTTTTGTTTTTGTTTAGTGGGAGACTTTGACAAGATCTGGCGTGAACACTGTGAGGATGAGGAAACTCTTTGTGAATATGCTGTGGCAATGAAAAACCTTGCAGATAATCACTGGACAAAATCTTGTGAAGGGGAAGGTCGAATTGAATGGTGTTGCAGGTAAATCTTTGTATGGTTTAACAAGATAGGATTGTAAACTCTGTCTCAAACTGGCAATCTGAGTCTTCAGTGCAGAACATATTCTTGCCTTCTGTACTTATCTCCAACACTCCTGTTTTCTTGTGTGGTTATTTTTAAGTAAGCATCAGATTTCCCATTGTTCCATCTCACTATTCTTAGAATTTTAGCATGTGATGTTCTGAATTTTTATTTTAAATCCAGATTAAAGCATTCCCAACTAGCTTTAGCAAAACTTCAATGTGTTGAAACGGTTAGCAGCTAAACTTGTTATAAAGAACATGATGAGTACTTGGTTCTAAATCTAGACTCCTCAAATTGAGGTAATCCTAAAACTGGAAGGGACCTCGAGAGGTCATTTAGTCCAGTTCCCTGCATTCAAGGCAGGACTAAGTTTATCTAGACTATCCCTGACAAGTGTTTGTCCAACCTGCTCTTAAAAATCCCAAATGATGGAGATTTCACAACCTCCCCAGGCAATTTATTCCAGTGCTTAACCACTCTGACAGTTAGGAAGTTTTTCCTAATGTCCAACCTAAACCACCCTTGCTGCAATTTAAGTTCATTGCTTCTTGTCCTATCCTCAGAGGTTAAGAAGAACAATTTTTTTCCCTCCTCTTTGTAACAACCTTTTATGTACTTGAAAACTGTTATCATGTCCCCTCTGTCTTCTCTTCTCCAGACTAAACAAACCCAATTTTTTTCAATCTTCCCTCATAGATCATGTTTTCTAGACCTTTAATCATTTTTGTTGCTCTTCTCTGGAATTTGTCCACATCTTTCCTGAAATATGGCGACCAGAACTGGACACAATACTCCAGTTGAGCCCTAATCAGCGCAGAGTAGAGTGGAAGAATTACTTCTTGTGTCTTGCTTACAATACTCCTGCTAATACATCCCAGAATGATGTTTGCTTTTTATTATTATTATTATTATTTTTATTTGCAACAGCATTACACTGTTGACTCATATTTAGCTTGTTATTTTGATACGGTCTCCCACAATATTCTTGCCAGCAAGTTAAAGTAGTATGGATTGGATGAATGTACTATAAGGTGGATAGAAAGCTGGCTAGATTTTCGGGCTCAACGGCTAGTGATCAATGGCTCGAAGTCTTGTTGGCAGCCAGTATCAAGCGGAGTGCCCCAGGGGTCGGTCATGGGGCTGGTTTTCTTCAACATATTTATTAATCTGGATGATGGGCTGAATTACACCCTCAGCAAGTTTGCAGATGACACTAAGGTGGGGAGAGAGGTAGGTACTCTGGAGGGTAGGGATAGGGTCCAGAGTGACCTAGAGAAATTGGAGGATTGGGCCAAAAGAAATCTGATGAGGTTCAACAAGGACAAATGCAGAGTCCTGCATTTAGGAAGGAAGAATCCTATGTACTGCTACAGGCTGGGGACCGATTGGCTAAGCGGTAGTTCTGCAGAAAAGGACCTGGGGATTACAGTGGATGAGAAGCTGGATATGAGTCAGCAGTGTGCCCTTGTTGCCAAGAAGGCCAACGGCATATTGGGCTGTATTAGTAGGATCATTCCCAGCAGATCAAGGGAAGTGATTATTCCTCTCTATTTGGCACTGGTGAGGCCATACCTGGAGTATTGCATCCAGTTTTGGTCCCCCCACTACAGAAGGGATGTGGACAAATTGGAGAGAGTCTAGGGGAGGGCAACAAAAATGATTAGGGGGCTGGGGCACATGACTTATGAGAAGAGGCTGAGGGAACTCTGGTTATTTTTGTCTGCAGAAGAGAAGAATGAGGGGGGATTTGATAGCAGCCTTCAACTACCTGAAAGGGGGGGGGGTCCAAAGAGGATGGAGCTAGGCTGTTCTTAGTGGTGGCAGATGACAGAACAAGAAGCAATGGTCTCAAGTTGCAGTGGGGGAGGTCTAGGTTGGATATTAGGAAACCATATTTCACTAGGTATGTGGTGAAGCACTGGAATGGGTTACCTAGGGAGGTGGTGGAATCTCCATCCTTTGAGGTTTTTAAGGCCTGGCTTGACAAATCCCTGGCTGGGATGATTTAGTTGGTGTTGGTCCTGCTTTGAGCAGGGGATTGGACTAGATGACCTCCTGAGGTCTCTTCCAACCCTAATATTCTATGATCCACTATGAGCCCCAGGTCCCTTTCCACAGTACTCCTTCCTAGGCAGTCATTTCCCGTTTTGTATGTGTGCAAATGATTGTTCCTTCCGAAGTGGAATACTTTGCATTTGTCCTTATTGAATTTCATCCTATTTACTTCACACCATTTCTCCAGATCATTATGAATTTTAATCCTATCCTCCAAAGCACTTGCAACCCCTCCCAGCTTGGTATCGTCCACAAACTTTCTAGGTGTACTGTCTATGCCATTATCTAAATCTAGTTTATGAGAAGGTTATGCAAGACCGTATCAAAAGCCTTACTAAAGTCAAGATATAGCCCATCTACTGCTTCCCCCCCATCTACAAGGCTTGTTACCCTGTCAAAGAAAGCTATCAGGTTGGTTTGACATGATTTTTTCTTGACAAATCCATGCTGACTGTTGTTTATCACCTTATTATCTCCTAAGTGTTTGCAAATTGATTGCTCCATTATCTTTCCGGTTACAGAAGTTAAACTGACTGGTCTGTAATTCCGCAGGTTGTCCTTATTTCCCTTTTTATAGATGGGCACTATATTTGCCCTTTTCCAGTCTTCTGGAATGTCTCCAGTCTTCCATGACTTTTCAAAGATAATTGCTAATGGCTCAGATATCTCCTCAGTCAGCTCCTTGGGTAGTCTTTCATCAGGCCCTGGTGATTTGAAGACCTCTAACTTATCTAAGTAATGACTTGTTCTTTCCCTATTTTAGACTCTGGTACTACCTCATTTTCACTGGCATTCACTATGTTAGACGTCCAATCGTCACCAACTTTCTTGGTGAAAACCGAAACAAAGAAGTCATTAAGCACCTCTGCCATTTCCACATTTTCTGTTATCTTCCCCCCCCCCCCCACCTCCCATTGAGTAACGGACCTACCCTATCCTTGGTCTTCCTCTTGCTTCTAATGTATTTGTAGAATGTTTCCCTGTTTCCTTTTATGTTCCTAGCTAGTTTAATCTTGTTTTGTGCCTTGGCTTTTCTAATTTTGTCCCTACATACTTGTTATTTGTTTATATTCTTCTTTTGTAATTTGACCGAGTTTCCACTTTTTGTACTTTTTCCTCTCTTTTGAGTTTTAGATCATTGAAGATCTCTTGGTTAAGCCAGGGTGGTCTCTTGCCGTACTTCTCATCTTTTTTACGCAGTGGGATAGTTTGCTCTTGTGCCCTTAATAATGTCTCTTTGAAAAACTGCCAACAGTCTTCCATTGTTTTTCCCCTCAGACTTGCTTCCCATGGGATTTTACCTACCGACTCAGAGTTTGCTGAAGTCTGCCTTCTTGAAATCCATTGTCTTTATTGTGCTATTCTCCCTCCTACCATTCCTTAGAATCATGAACTCTACCATTTCACGATCCCTTTCACCCAAGTTGCCTTCCACTTTCAAATTCTCAACCAGTTCCTCCCTATTTGCCAAAATCAAATCTAGAACAGCCTCCCCCCTAGTAGCTTTCTCCACCTTCTGAAATAAAATATTGTCTCCAATACATTTCAAGAACTTGTTGGATAATCTGTGCCCTGCTGTGTTGTTTTCCCAACAGATGTCTGGGTAGTTTAAGTCCCCCATCACCACCAACTTCTGTGATTTGGATGATTTTGTTAGTTGTTTAAAAAAAAGCCTCATCCACTTCTTCTTCTTGGTTTGGTGGTCAGTAGTAGACCCCTCCTATGACATCACCCTTGTTTTTTTTACCCCTTTTATCTTTACCCAGAGACTTTCAACAAGTCTGTCTCTCATTTCTATCTCAACCTCAGTCCAAGTGTATACATTTTTAATATATAAGGCAACATCTCCTCCCTTATACCCTCGTAACAGTAATGCACTCTTATGAAATAATTCATAATGTTTTATTTGTAGAGTATTTTTAAAAGTTAGTTGCTTGCTTGCTGCTTTTTATAGCTGTACTGATTTTTTTTTTTTTTTTTAAATACAGATCTTTGCTATGTAATAGTCACATGTTCTAATGACTTCCCGGTGGCTTTATAAGCATATCAAGTTTTGCACCTAGATTTAATTAAAGATGTAGAGTATGAAAATCCATCCCTGTGTTACTTCTCATACCCAGTGTTCCGTATATAAAGTTTCTCTTGCAGAAATTACTTTCTTTTTGTCAGAGACACAAGGTGGATGAGGTAATATCTTTTACTGGAGCAACTTCTGTTGGTGAGAGAGACAAGCTTTTGAGCTACACAGAACTTTTTCTCAGGTTTGGGAAAGGTACTCCTTTTTCTGTTTGTCCACATAATTCCAAACATCAAACAATATATAACAGTGCTATTTCAGGGTGTGCTTGCCTTTGGGGTTTAGTCCCCAGCTCTGGTCTGTGGCCAAATCAGTTGAGCAGAGGGTTGACATAGGCACCACTTTTGGACTGCCATCACGTAAGAGGGGCTGCCTTTCTCTAGTGAAAGGGAACAGAAAATACCAGGACATTTTCCCACAGTAAGTCTCCTGAATAGAGACAATATTAGGCGTGGCGCAAACTAAGGGATGGCATGAACAAAGGGAGGAATCTGCGAAGTTTCTGTGACCCAGGGATAGAGGGGGACTAAGCCTTGAAGGCTAAAAGAGAGATTATTTGTGGAACCCTGCTGACGAGGAAAAGGAACTGCTTTGCCTTGGAAGGGGAAAGCAGTTTTAGTGAACTTCTTTGGTTTACTGAAACAAAATCCTAAGAAAAGGACGTTAATTTGAATGTAGTGTATGTGCATTCTTTGGAAATTCAGGGGACAAACTGGTGCTGAGAAGGCCAGATGACAGGGCAGACTGATCCTCTGACAGGTGCTTGTCAACTTTTTAATAAATAGAGCTGAGAAAATATTTTGCAATTCCTTACTTCATCTCTAAAGGCCAGGAGTTCTCAAACTTTTGTTCTATGTATCATTGATGATCTGCAGAGAGATGACGGGGTCACATGGTGCTGTGGCCCTTCTTTATGTCCTGCTGCTTAACTGAATGAAAATACAGTTTTAAAAATAAATACTTGGATTACATAGAAAAATAAATTGTAGTTGGTACAGTTATGTGATCATAAGTTTCTCTTCAGAAGCGGAATACTCTGAAAATATTGAAGAGCCTTATTTTGAGGACAGGATGGCTTTTGGAGGCAGATCTTAGGCATCTGTATTGAGGAAAGCTAGAAAAAAAACTTGTATAGCCACTCTACCGTCATTTTCTTTTTTCTCCATGCAATCTTTTCTAACTGAATACCTGAGAAAGCAACTGTCTGCAAATTATTTAGAGGGCTAGCCTACATAACACAGTACAATCATTAGAGAAACCATCTATACTCTTCTTTGGTATTAAGAGTCACAGTTATGCGGATTATTTTTTAAATTTTTTCTGCTGCCTAGTTGGGGAGGCTGAAAAATATTTTGAGATTAATTCATAAACTAGATTCTGTGTGTCTTTCATTTTTGATTATATAATGTTTTTATTGCTTAATTGAAATATTTCTTCATGGTTTGTAAAAATTCAGTATATGGTGATCGATACTGACCATTTGCAGCCTTAAAATAAGGAGACTGCCTCACCCTGTATGTGTGATTGTTTCAGGGAATACCTTGGAAACCTTTAGTTATAGGATTGATACAAGATTTGTCTGCTGAATTCCAGAATTATTCCTGGACCCCACATGACCTTAGAGTGCTATTGCAATAAGCTTGAACAATAAATTAATCATATACCCTGCCTGTGCTTTCCTCAAACTCTACTTTTTTATTGTCTTCCCACTTCCCTTTTGTATTGAAGACTATAGCTTTGTAATATAAAGGGAAGCAGAAAGACATCTTTTGGAAAATAACTCCAAATCAAAGGTTATGTCTCCACATAGAGGTTTTGGTGGTAGCAAAATTCTCCTTGTGTATATAGTATCTACTGGCAAAAGAGTGCTTTAGCTGGTCTAGCTATTCTGGTTCTGCAAGCAAAATAAGTTATGGCAAAAGCACTCTTTTACTGGTATAACTGCATCTACACTAGGGCTTTTGCTAGCATAGCTATGTGGTTCTAAAATTTAGTTATGTTCCTTCAAGAAGGAAGGGGTGAAGTGGGCCCTAAATTAGATACAGATGGAATTCCATGTTATCTTTTTCATTTATTTATTTATTCATTTTAAATGCCAGTCTGGATTTTCTCACTTGTAAGGTGGTGATCACCACAACTATCTACAAATTCTTCTATCCTAATAAAATCCTAAATTGCTTTTCTAATGCTTGAACAGAAGCAGAACATTGAACTTGTGGTAATTGATAGAACTGTCTCAAGATCTCTCTGTTCTAGTGCAGACCTTGGAATCCTCAATGGGAGAAACTGCATCCAAAGATGTTCTTCCAAAACATCTCTGACATCTGTCTCAGTTCAAAATCTGTTTTAAACGTTATAACTGTCTAAGAACCTGAAATTAGATCCCTATAGCAAAACCAATATCTCTCTCAGATCAGAGGCTTTGCATCTCTTCTTACTATGGAAAAACTGAAGATTTTTTCAACTTCAAGTTTCACATGATATAAACAAAATAAAAAGGCAGCTAAACGTTTACAATGTTTTAAAACAAGATTCCTAGTACAAAAAAGGCTTTATATTCTCATATATGCTGAGACAATTCCAGCCCTTCTAGTCTTAAACTGGGAGCCTACAATGACCCATTACACAGTCAACAATAGTAAAACTATATAATAGGGGAAAAGCTCTGTAATCCAAAGGTGAACCCCTTCTATGCTCTGGTTGATATTACTAATATATGCTTATAAACAGGTGTGTTCTTGCGCTCCATGGTTCTAGAGTGAGATTGGAGTGGCTTTCAAGGTTGGGCTTGATGCTTATAATTAAGTCTTCTCTGCTTTCTGTCTAGTTTACCTACACCAGTCCTTATGACTGGGTTATATTCCTCCTTTCCAATAAGTGTCTTACAAGTATTTGCTAACCCTCCCCATTTCTGGAGACTACAGAGCTAGTATGTAAGTGGGAGAGAAGGTTGAATATACTTCTAATTGTAGCTCTGATAAGGGTATCTTCACTAGGTCCACATTTCCTCTCCTTGAAAGTTAGGATCTACTGTATTTATGTATGGATAATACGGAACTTATCCAAAAGAAAGAGAAATCCATATACCTCATTTTAACTTAGTCCAGCTTTTGACTGCTGCCTCTGGATCAAAACATCTGGAAGTAATTAAGCTACTTCTCATTTCATATGTGATCTGTATGGGCAATAAATGGCCAAAGAAGTGAGGATAATGAGTGCCTTTTGGAAACTATTGGAAACAATGCTTTCTACAGGTAACATTGTGGGTTTGTCTCTTTGAATATGTATTGTAGCTTTAATCAATATGGGATTTTGTTATGAAACTCTAGTTATTAAGTGTTTGTATCCTTTATTGAATTCCATTTAAAACTGTTTTTCCTTCATTCTCAGTTTGTCATGCTGCTGCTGAGTTCAAATTAATATAGGTAAACCCCAATAATATTTACTTTTACAAAAGTCTTGATCATCTCAAGGCTTGGTATAATCTGTTTTTAATAATAAATGTAACTGCAAGTTTTAGATAACATGTAGACTCAAAGTACCTATAGTTATAAGTATTGCTAAACCTCATTACCACTGGTCTGCTGAAATATTACTTTGGATATTTTCTTTTTTAGTGTGTGCCGAGAATATTTTCAAAATGGCGGAAAGAGAAAAGCACTTGAAAAAGATGAGAAAAGAGCAGTTGTTGCATCTAAGACCACTTCAGCCTTAAATGTTCACCAGACTCCCAAAATTGAAGAACCCTTACCCAACTTCAGCTTTACAAATCATGAAACTATATCAGAGGAGTAAGTTGTAACTTTTTGCTATAGTAAAAAAAGTTTGCAAAAGAGAAGTTTTTCCCAATCTTGTAACATTGACTTCTGTGAAATTGCATTGCCCTAATGTATTTCCAATGCAACTTTTTATAGTTTTAAAAAAGACAGAAAGTTTAAAAAAAAAGTATATATTAATATGCTTCACGAAAAGTTGTATCATCAGATATTTTGGAAGCTAATGTTACAAAAATAGTGGCCTAGAACTTATTCTGAAATTGACAATAGTTCTTTTTTTTTTTAAATTTAAGGAAAAAACTCGCATAACCACTTGTGGAACAATTCTGTCTTGTTAGTGTTCTTGGTGTGTGATTTTTATAATACAATTTGGGTTTGGACAAAGGGAACATTTAAGAGGAAAGTGCTTCAGTAGGAAACTGAGTATTCAGCACTTTTGAAACTCAATCCACTTTGCCTAAATATGGATTGGGTACCTATGATTATACTCCTCTTACCCCTCCTCCCCCC